CGAGCATCGTCCTCAACAGCCTCACGACCACTTTTAAAGCGTTCATACCACTGGTACACTTGTGTTTTTGATAGAGTATCGTCACCATAACACTTTTGTAACATTTTTAATGTGTCGGAACACTTAATTTCATGTTTATAGCAAAATTTAATGCAAGAACGTTGTTCAAGTTTTGAATCCGTTGTAAAAATCGCCGCGACGTAAAAACTTGATGTAAAGAAATTACTGTCATAAAGGTAAATGAACAGCTGATAAGCAGAAGCTTGGCATGGGTGTCCGTAACAGTGCTGCCAACGTGACACGAACAACAGAATTCTATACCAATAAGCTTGCGAGGTTTAAATTAAAAATTCCGGTTATTTTTTGATCATGGTAATATATGGAGATCTCATTGTATAAAATAATCATACACCTAAAGTTGCAGAAAAATGCAGCTAATTTTTATAAATTTTGTTACATAAAAGTATAAACTACAAGCCTAAACAAAAATTTTGGTGCGATATTGCGGGATATATAACTTTCTGTCTATATTTGTAAACATTTTCAGAAAAGTTTTAGCATTTTTTTTATAATTAATGTTATCATTATACAATATTCAACCCGACAATTTCAGTTATTTCAATGCAAATAAATATTTTACTTACCTCCAGGAATAGCATCCATTTTGCAAAATTAAAGTCACTAATTATTTCTAGAAGTTATGCACTTCTAAAGTATACGTTTATTTTTGCACTGACGCACATGACACGCTGCTCAAACAAAAGCCAACTTTGCATTAAAGCATAAACTCTGGTACAAAAGATAGGCTTTTCTTTCTTTTGCCATTCAATGGGCACATTGTCACTGTAGCCAATTCAACAGTTAGAATTCTCTAGATCAAAACTTTATTTTGGGGTTTGTTTTGACCACGTTTTTGGGATCTTGAACCACTGTGCGCCGCTCCGGCAGCCGCTTCTGTCACAAAGGTTGCACCAGCTCCACGCGACCTGATGGCAACGACGCAGGTGGAAATTGCGCCCGGCCGCTTCCTGGACGTTCCGCATCGCGCCCGCCATACTTGGCGCAAATTCAAAGCGGACGTAAGCAACAAGAAATGGCTGTTGCGATTCGACAGCCGAGAGCAGCTGAAGACGTGCAAGCGCACGTCTTCTCCCTAAGAAGGGGGAAGGTGTAACGATCGTTACGGCCGGGACCGACTATTTGTTCCTGCGCAAAACGGCGCTTTGCGTCGAATAAAATGTCAAAATTGCAGCGCGTAAGCGATACGCACTGTATACGGCATGTGCGCCGCCCGCACCGCGAGCCGCCCCGCGCCGCGCCTTGGAGCTTCGAGAAAAGAGTTGTTTGTTTCCTCCGCGCAACAATTGCACGTCAGTGAGCCGCGCAGAGCGCTCACGCACACCAGACGCGTGGTTGACTTGTGACCGGAGTTGCACTTAATTGCAACTCGGCTTGTCTTTTTTAACTAGAAATACTTTATCACGGTCGCCAGTCGGTTTACACTTATACCGCTGACAAGTTTTAACGTAATTCACTTATTTGCATTAAACAATTTTTTCACGTCGTTTTACTTCGGTTGTCGATGCGTATTGCTTAGCCGCACAAATCTTTCTGGTTAAATAGAATAATGATCGATGAAAAGGCCGATACGAGGCAAAAAATACTGGATGTCAGTGTATGTGAATGTTTCTTTATTAATGTCAGACGTTTCGACTCCTGGATTGAGTCTTCTTCAGTGACATTATTAATTTCAATTCATTTTTGAACTGAACATCAATCATCATCAGTACTTTGTTTATCTTTTTGACACTGTTGTGTGTTCACAAGAAAACCATCTTGACACGTAAAGCGAAGTATTGATGTTCAGTTCAAAAATGAATTGAAATTAATAATGTCACTGAAGAAGATTTAATCCAGGAGTCGAAACGTCTGACATTGATAAAGAAACATTCACATACACTGACATCCAGTATTTTTTGCCTCGTATCGGCCTTTTCATCGATTATTATTCTATTTAACAATTTCACGAGGTCCACAACTTTCTGGTTAAGTACCAATATGATGCATTGATAAGTTATCACAACGGGCTCACCATCATGCTTGTTGCCGATCTCGCTGTACTTACCTCCAATTGGTTCAATACATGATACCTTCTAGATATAACCAATCCGCTTCTCTTTTACCGATGTAGCCTTTGGAAAGTAACCAATAGAATTGATGCGTGCCTATCCTGCTTATTGGCTGGTCCGGGCCAATCAGCCCTCAATCGATATGGCGCCGTTTGTTCTGACCAATCAGGCCACTCGATTGCAACACTCTGTGCGGTCCCGGGGATTCAGACGCAAATGTTCAATAAATCATACTTTGATTTATGATTTTGTTTGATTTATTTCAATTTACACACTCCTGACCATTTACACAAAATGTTACAATCGCATGCTTATTTTGACGTACCGCCGCAATTTCGCTCACGCTTTACAACCCGTTTCTTTATCACAGCTACGACGTAATTTGTTGATTTAAGAAACCAACAAAAATATTGAGTCAGCCCGATTTAGGTTTCTGGTTGGTAACTTCCAACACTGCTGGTTCTGATTCACTGCTTAACTTGGCTTGACTAACTGCTTGCTGGCTTTTGCTCGGCTTTATATAACTCGTTGCCCCCTCTCTCGTACTCTTCAATCGGATCTTCTCGTACTTTCGCTT